TTATTATTATAATTATTTATAAATTAAAATTTAATATTCTAAAATAAATTATTAATAAATGAAAATAATATTATGTTATAATGTAAACTATTTATCATAAATATAAGATATAATTTATATATTTTAAATATTTATTTATAAAAAATTAAATATAATTTATATATTTAAATATAATATGTATTTATACATAATTTATCATAATTTTTAGTTATATATAATAAATATTTAATTTGTGTGTATATATTAGAAAAATCAAACTCATGTTTAAGATGTACACATGATTTAAGTTCAAATTCTAATACTCATTCTAATGCTGATGAATAAAAAAGAATACTCCTATGATTAATAGATAATCATCTTTTTTAATTATATAATTAATAGTTTAATTTTAAGTCTACGTATGTAAAAGAGTATTTATTAAAAAAATTGAATAGCTTAAATAAATCTTAGTATATTGACGAGAGATCCAAAGATGTAAAAAGAAAAGGTGCTAGTTGACTTAAAGTGTTGCTATTTGTCTTTTTTAAAAAGTAAAAACCGTATTCTTGGTTGTTTCTTAGAGCGAAGAAAGCACACTAATTAGTATGCGGAAATACTTTAGAATTTTAATAAACATAGTGGCACGTTTGGATCTAGTGCCATCTGTCTATACATTAAATTAAAGTACCTACCCCTTGAGTCACTCATTAAATGAGTAAAACAGTAAGAGATAAGTTTTGGGACTTAATTTGGTGCTGCTCTACCACACCATCACTTGCAATGCTAACACGTCTTAACTTTGAAAGAGTATCTACCAACTTTATTAAGATTATCTCTTAGGACATTAATTATATTAAAGTTTTTTTAATATTATTTTGTTATTAAATTTAATATTTGAACTTAAGATATTAAGATTTTGAAACGTAAAAATCAATCATAATATCAATTGGATGAAGGTTGACTCATCTCCTCCGTCATTTGTTCACATGTCTATTTTGAATTTTTTCATAAATATATTTTTAATCATATAATATAAGTATACTTTAATTTTAACTTTTTCTAAAAAATTTCTTTCCTTTTTAGAATTAGTCTATTATTTTTAATTTTAATTATTATGTAATTATTTTAACTACATTTTTTTATTAAAAGATTGAGTAATTATTTTAAGTGGTATTTAGAACTATTAAAGATATCATATTACTAATATGATATTAGTGTGTGATTTCTAAAAAAAATCTTTAAAATAAATATTATTTATATACTTTAAAATGACTGTTAAAATAAAAAAAGTAAAAAAAAAATAACTTTAATTTTTTTTAAGATGAAACTAAAAAAAATTACAAGAATCTAAACCAAGATTTATTTATTTTACTAAAAGTAAAAAAACAATGCTTACAAATTTTATAAATAAAAAATAATTTTTTGATTTTACAGAGATTTATACTACCATTTTTTACTTTGACTTAAAATTAATTTAATTTTGTTTTAGAACATATATATTTCGAAGATAATATGTTTGAACGGCTCTATTTAATAAAAAATGTTTACTTATATTTTTTTTAATAATAAAACTGTTACACTGCATTTAAATTGTTTCATTTTTTAAGGATTTGCATAAAAAAACTATTTTTTGTTTTCTCTATAGGAAAAAAATTAAAAATAAAATGATAATTTTGTAATTTAAAATAAAAATAAAAACAGAAAATAAATGCATACATAAGTAAACGACTTTAAATATTTAATCTTTTCTTCGCTAGGTGTAAGCAGGGACAAAAAGGAAGGGAAATAAAGTGAGTTTAACTTTAATTTCATGTTCAAATCAATTTTGGAACAAAAAAGAAAGAAAAGGAGCTTTTTAAAAAAAATACAAAATTTTCTAATTTTTATTCAAGTTATTTATGTCTTTTTGTATAATTTTTTTTTTCACTTTATGAGCAAACTACATAAAAAGATAATTTTTTAAAATTTAAATATATTTATAGTCTCTGTAAAATAAATAAATTTAAAATTTTTTCATTATTTCTCATCTTTAAAATTTAGGATGTTTGATTTTAGTTCTCATATATGTAATTATTTTTATTTTCTTATTTATTTATTAAAAAGTCAAATTACATTGATATTGTATTAGTATGGAGTACTTCTAATTTTTCCATGAATCCTTAAAATAAATGTTATTTTATCTACCTTAAAATCATTGTTAAATATAAAAAAATAACAATTTTAGATTTTTGTAGATGAAAATTAAAAAAAAATTACAGGAAAATAAAAAAATTACTCATTTTATAAGGATAAAAAATATTTTACATGAATAAAACTAATACTTACAAATTTTAGAAGAATAAAAAAAATCAATACAAGAATGAAAATTAAAACTCACTCACAATAAATAAAACATATTTAAACTGATTATTTTATTATATTTTTTCCCAATCAAACAAACTAAATATATCCTAAAATAGAGCAATGTGAGTTAACTCGCATAATTTAGTACAGAATAGTGGACTAGGAATCTCAATCTACCCCCATTTAACAGAAGATAGATGGGTTGATCTAAAAAAAACAATATAAAAATACATTAAAATTAGTTAATAGAAAATGTATAATACTAAAATTTGTCACATAAAAAATGTATTTTTTATCATAGAAATTGCAACTTGAAACTTTATGTATATCAGTTATTACAAAACCGATTTTAGTGATTAAAAAATAATATAAATTATTTTTTAATTTAAAAATAACGCTTAATTATAGTACCATGTATTAATATAACTTATTTAATAATTATTTCTTAAAATTTAAAAATAAACATTAAAATCCACCATGTGGTTTCTGAAGTGGATTGCTAGACTTTTATCATTATTATACTTTCATGCTTATTTTTTTCAAATCAAGGTATTTTCTAACAGAAAATTAATGATTAATTTTTTTGAGATACTAAATTATATTCAAAGGATTGGTCTTTTATTTTTGTTAAAAAAATATTTTTTTTCATAAATTCTAAATCCTAAATCCTAACTGTTTGGGATTTAAGTCAATCATAACACATTTTATTGATGAAATGAAAAAGAAAATAAATAATTTTTTTGAAAAATAAAAAATAAGTGACAGAAAATAAAAACAAATAATAGGTCTATATATTTTTTTATTTCTCTCCTTTTTATTTTTATTGTATAAAATACCTATTTTTTCTATCTTATTTATCCCTCACTAAACATACATTTGACCTTCATTTTTATGCATGGACGAAAGTTGTTTTTTTATATGATAGTGTAAGTGCAATGACGACACAACTTCAGTGAAGCAAATTTATTAATTTCTTATGATCTCATTTCGTACTTCAATCTATCTGATCAAATCGGAGACGTACAAGATATAGTATGTATTAATAATAACTACTCTGCTAGTCAATAGTCAATTAGTCGTTAAGTGTTTCACGAAATTGTACTTACACAAATACCCATCTGTTACGCAATGTACTATTGGGGTAAGTTTGAAAGAAATTATGTATACTTATTTTATGATATAAGTTTCTATGTAAGTAATTAAAAGAGTTATCAAAATTAAAAGAGGTTTTGCGTCTTTTATAGTAGATAATTTAGAAATAAATAATTAATAGCACCAGGGCTAAAAAAAAAAAATCCTTTATTATAGTTATAGAGATTTTTTATATATAAATTATAGATTTTAGGGTAATTCTTTTGTCAACGAATGTTCCTATTATACTTGTAGTCTCTTCTTTAAAGGATGAGAACCAACTATGTAGCATCTACATCGAAAATTCAAGTATTTTATACGTCATTAGTCATATCTTTTGTAGGAACTACATGTAATAATGAATTTACAAAATAAATTTATTTTTCATAAAGAGATTTAATCATATTTTTTCTTTGATTAAAAAATAATTAATATATAAGTACATATGTCATAAATATTTATTCAACAAATACATAATCAAACTGTTTATTCAATTTATCTTAGCAACATATAATACAATTCAACTTGGTATAAGCACCATACAATATATTTATTTTGGTATAATTGGGACTAATAACTTTGACTCACTTGATCAATATATTTCAAAAATAATAAATTACTTTTTTTTTTGTGTTTGATAAGTCGTTTTAAAAATTTATAAGTTGATTTGATTAATTTATAATTAGTTTAATCAAAATGAATTTGTTTCATACAAATGTTAATATAGATTTATTTTAAAAACTTATAACTTATTTTCATAAATGAATTAAAATAGTTTATTTAATAAAATCTTAGATTTGTCTTTTTTATTATCATTAATTTATTATTTTTTAAAATGTTTTTTTAACTTAGAAATTATTATTTTTATCATGAAATCTCATTCATTATAAAAATTATTTTATGTCCTTTAACTTTTTTAAGCTAATTTTTAAAAAACTTAATTCAGTCGGCTAGTTATAAATTTTCATCTGTTAATTCAATCAATTAAGTATAAATTTATAACTTATGACATATAAGTTTTCAGTTAATTTATAAATTAGTTTTAAAAAATAATTATAAAAGTCCACATTTATTTAGTAGCGAATCATAAAGTAAATATTTGCACAAAACGAAAGAAGAGTTAATTAAATATTGTTTCACTGATAATAAATACAATACAGTATACTAAAACAAAATATTTAAAAGTAATTGCATTGACCGTGATCTTTGACTAGGATTATCTAAGTGTACGAAATATGAGTGTGTGTTGCTATTTGCTAACCCTATGGAAATGGATGGATCTGATGGACCAACAAGTTTTGTAAGTTTATTTGTTGAAAGAGAAATGGCCACGTTTGACTGGTCAAGGGACTCATGAGTCATGATGAGCATTTCCGGACCCTCCATCTATTAAAGGCCCGGCCCGCTTCAAAGACTTAAGGTTCAGGTCAGGGCCCACCCACGAGACTGACCCGACCCGACCCATCTCCATCTGAGACATTACGCGCGAGGAAGAGGCGCGTGAAGCAGACAGCAGCACTCAAAACGCATAGACTTTATGGGTCAAACTGAAATGAAAACCTCATCATCCTCAACACTCACCCAACCCAACATCACACCTTGAACACCGAAACATAACAACAACACACTCATTCACTTTCTCGTCTTCGGAACTAAAATCTCGCCTTTCTCGCTAATCCTAATTGTCCAAAGACAAGATAATCAATGTCCCCAAACGGTAACCGCTACCACAGCTCTAAGATTTCCACCTAAACCATACCCTCATCTTCCTTAATTCTAAACTCTTAGGTAAAGTGGCTTAATCACTCAATCATATCATATCATATAAAACTCTTCGGAGACGACTTTTTTCGCATTGCTGTTCATTTGGGTCGCGGAATCGCTTTTCAAAAAACTTTTTTGTTTTCAAATGGATGATCTTTCGTCCAGCCTTCTGTGCCAAGAAAACGAAACTTGTTTGGAAGAAGGGGGTGAAGAATTGGAACACCCATTCGTGGAATCGCAGCATGATTGTGGGGTTTCGGAGGATGAACATGTGGGAATTTTGATTGAGAGAGAGGTGGTTCTTGGGTTCAAAAGGGACGAAAGTTTGGTGCTTGGGGACTGGGTGAAACGAGCACGCATGGAAGCAATCGATTGGATTCTCAAAGTTAGTCCAACGACCCATTTTCTTCTACTTTCCATTGAGCTTCATTGATGAATCTGCAATAGGAAAATCGATCTTGATTTTATTTTTTCATTTTCTAATTTTGTTGTTCATTAGACAAGAGCAACATTGGGTTTTCGCTTTGAAACGGCTTATTTGTCAGTGACATACTTGGATCGATTTCTTTCCAGAAGGTCCATTGATGTAAGCTAAAGCGTTATGTTAATTAATCTTCCAATTAATGGCAATGTTGAACCTTCACTCTTCATTGATCTTATTCCTTACTTACTTACCCTTTTGGTTGAATGGCCAATTTTGTGCAGAGTGAAAAGTGTTGGGCAATTCGGTTGCTATCAATTGCATGCCTCTCTCTGGCTGCAAAGATGGAGGAGTGCAATGTGCCAGGGCTATCAGAGTTCAAATTGGATGACTATTCTTTTGAGGGAAAGGTGATTCAGAAAATGGAGCTTTTGGTGCTGAGCACATTGGAGTGGAAAATGGGAATCGTCACTCCCTTTGATTTTCTTTCCTATTTCCACACAAAGTTGTGCAAAGATTCCCCACCAAGTCCTATTTTTTCCAAGACCATGCAATTCATCTTCACTACAATGAAAGGTGAATCATGACCACTGGAATTTCCTTTCTATCTTTTTGACCGAATTTTTCAATGAGCCATATTTCCACATGCATTTAGCAAATGTTTGTTCTCTTGTGCAGAGGTCAATTTAATGGATCACAAACCATCAGTTATTGCAGCGGCTGCTACTTTGGTGGCAATGGATCAACAATTGACGATTGAAGCAGTGGAGTTGAAGATGAGTTCAATTCCACAATATAGGCTACTAGAACCAGTAAGTTCCGTGTTTTGGTTTGGTTTGGTTTAACTTACACCAAAACATATTAGCTAATATATACTCTGAATTAATGTTGGCCTTCTTTGATTTTTCTTTTCTTCACAGAAAGATGTATTCGAGTGCTACAATCTAATTCAAAGATTATACGAGGAGAATACCAAAAGAGACACACATACGCCAATTGACATGATTGAGAGCTCTCGAGTTACTTCTGCAGCGGTGGCAAAGAGAAGAAGACTCACATTCAGTGATGATGAAGGAAGTAGTGGTGGGAAGGGACAAGGCTAGCAAAAATCCATTTTTTTAATATTTTTTTTTGTCTAATTATTTTATGTGAAGAATATGTATTGTCATTCTTGATTAGTTCTAGCACTAATCTCACCCAGAGATAGAGAGAGTAAAAGTGAAATCCAAATCAAAAAGGTATTGATTGTTACTACCAGAAAAATCTTCCTCAGAAACAAGCAAGGAAAAGAGAAACAAAAGGAGAAGCAAGAATAAAAATTGAGGATTTGGGATACAGATATTAGTTGAGGTGTTCAAATCACCAGGTAAACAAAAGCCAGATGCTGATCTAGAAAGCTGCAAAATCAGAAAGAGCCAGTTAGGACTTAGGCCATTGTTTTTTTTCCCCCCTTTTTTACCCTTATATTTTCTTGTGATTTTTCTCCATTCTTACTGTTATTATTATTATTTTTTTTTGTTTCGGTTAATCTTTTTAACCTTCATTGCCTCTTCATAACGGATTTTGCTTTGTCACATCTCTTGCAACCTACCTTTTGATGGATGCTTGGGATGCTTTAGTGTAATGTCTTCAAAAAGGCTGAAAAGAAAACTCTGTTGGTGTGTTTGGGTGCATGGGTCTGTGTTGCATATTGGACATCACAAAAGTTTTGTAAGGATGAATGTGCTTGGATTTGTTTGAATGTCTGGGACTGCCTTTAAGGCGGGACCTACCCTTTTGCCTGCAAATTTTACATGGCTTCGTTGTGTTCATGGGTCATGACCATGAAACCCGAGATAGTGTTTTGTGGAATCAAAAGGATTTCTATGTTGATTATGCTTTCAAGCAATGGAATTCTGTGCTCTGCCAGGTTTATTCTATAACATCCTAAACTTGCTGCACTCTTCTTTACAATGAAAAATATTACTGAAATTACAAAGGTTTAATTACCGTTTTGGTCTTTATAATTTTATGAACTTTACTTTTTAATTATTGTAATTAAAGTCCTTATAATTAAAAGTTTTTTTTTTAGTATTTATACATACATTTTTTTTCTTTTTAGTTTTTATAGTTACATAAATTTTATTTTTGAATCTCTAAAAATAGACAACACAAACTATAAAAGAAAAAAATGGTATGTGTAAAAACTAAAATAAAACGTTTTAACTATAGGTAAACCAGTTACAGATATTTCATCCAGTTGTCCAAAACAATATTTTATCTTACTTGGTTGAGATAGAGAATATCACTGCCATTCGGTGTTTGAACACTTGTATACATGTAATATTTGCAAATTGGACCACTTTTATTTTTTATTTGATTATTAGTTGGGGTGGGGAGACATTTTTGTCACACTTGAAATTGACTCTTCCACATGAGTTTGATATGACTGTAAAGCAAGGGTCAGAGACCTAGTTGCTCCCTACTCCATAGTTAAAGAACAAACAAAGGAATGATGAATTTAGAAATGTTGAAGGGTCAACTTGAAGTCCGTGAAATATGATTGGTGTCAGTGGTCAATGTGGTACTTCTGCTGAACAAGTTCCATAGAAGAAGCATCTTGGATGCAGACTTCAGAGGTTTGAGCCAAAAATTACAGCAGCATTCTTCGACTTGAGGTTGCTTTGAGATGATAGATGATCTTGAATGTTATATGTACAAACCAAAAATCCGTGTAATGTGGATTCTGTATGATATGATTGTAAGTACACTAAAAACCATGCCCACGTGAAATTAACCGCGAAAACATCACAGACAACAAGTTAAACTTACCTACGTATTTTTAGGTATTTCTTTTACGAGAATATTTTTAATTACTTTTTTTTTTTCCAATGGAGTGTTTTTTTTTGTGTGGATTTTTTCGTAACTTTTTTTTTTAATCTTTAACAATATATCATTCTCACTTTTTATTTTTATATTAAATTATTTTTTAAAAAAAATCAACGCTTAAAAATATTTATCTATTATTAATATTTGTGTGTATATATATAATAAAAATTAATTGATAAAAGATGCAAAAGTGATAATTATTTGCTTATCTGATGGGTGAATCAAATGTGACTTGTTTAATCCTAATACAAATATAACATAATTTAGGTAAACTCCTATATATTTTTTTAAAAAAAGAATGATTATCTTGGACTAGTACATGTTTAGAAATTCCTTTTAAAGATAGTTTTTTTCTCTAACGAGAGATTTTAAGAATTTTTTAACTTATTTATTTTAATTTTATTATAAAATAAATTATAATATTTTAAAATAAATTATCAATAATTAAAAATAATTGTGTCACTATAAATTATATATCACAATTATAAAATATAATTTATAGGTTTAAAATTACTTATTTATACAAATTTTAAATATAATTTATATATATTCAAATATAATATTTATTTACATATAAAATTTAATATAAAATTAATTATATATAATAAATATTTAACATGCAAATGTCAAAATACTACACAGTGATCCCATTTTAGTAATAACAAAAAATTTATTGTCAATAATTCAGCGTACGAAAAAATGGTCACCAAAAAGAAGCTGGTCCTGTCCTTTTTTCTTCTCCAATTATATATTAGGAGTATTAACTACGTTTCTTATCAAGTGTCTTTGAATTATACTTTTCGTTCTTGATTAACTCTTTTCATTAACCATCCATAAAACTTGATTTGCTAATTGCAAGAGATAATCATAACCCTGTGTTTGGACCAAGAATGAAGTTATAAAAAATTTGGAGAGGGTATTTCAATTTGCATTTGGAAGCATTTTAACGTGTGAAAGCACAAACAATTCCAAGTATGCATTGTAATGAGCTGTGTCGGTATCTCTTAACGGCTTTATATTTTTAGTTAGTTCGAGATTAAAATCTTGACCTGCAACTAAGTTCAAACAATCAAATAATTTTGTTCCAATGGCCTCAGCACTGAAAACTATGAGTACCGAAGAAAAAAAAATACTAAACCAGATACACTAGAGGGAGCTGCCCAATTCACAAAACAATGTAGATTAGAGCAAATTCAATTCTCTAACAACAGACCTGATGAACTTCTCACCCATCGAGTACCTTAGATTCTGAGAAGCCAAAGATTGCGTCTATAGCCTTTGCTTCATTAGGATTGAATAGAAGCAGCCTTGCCCTGGTGGTCTTCACCAATAAAATTATAGGTATCCACCAATATTTCTGGCTAACTGCATAATCAAAATTAACTTCAATCAGACTGCCAGAGATAATTTCTGATAACGAGACAGCATAGCATACACACTTAATAGAAACAACTCCACTTAAACTCCATTAAATGATGAGAATTTGTGCATGTCATGAGTACATTTAACATAATTCTCTTCCCACCAGATAGATACATTCCATAGCCACATGTAACAGTCGAAAGCTGGCTTTCTTGATCTGTGCCCAATTGACAATAATAGAAAGTTGAGCCAGAGCAATGAATATATCCTCAAAATATACCAGATTGATATTCTAGAGTAAAACCAAATTGCAGAAACTTGATACATTTAATGATAACTGATGATTGTTTTCCTTCTCGGTTGGACAGATACCAAGCAGCATCATGTATATTCATAATTGAATTCACTTCCTGAATTAGATAGACAGAATATCCAAGTACATTTTCCATCATAAATGAAACCTCACATATACCTTGAACCTTAAGAACTTACCTAGTTTAATTGCTCAGAAATAACTCTAGTAATTACATCCATAGTTGATACAGGGAACTTGAAACTATAATGCCAAGAAATACGAGTTGCTTTCACAATTACTACGAGCTAAGAGGAGAAAGCTATTGCATTAATTTTCTTTTTCGTTTTAATTTTTGATACAGCCATCCACAATGTGTTCAGCGTCAGCTGAAAATCCTAATTGCCATTATCAGAAGCTCTGACCTCCGAACCGACCTCACTTCCTAAAAGAATCCAACCTGGATAAGCTCCTATATTTGATCTATTGACAACCATGATAATAATGAAAAGGGTAAAATATGCTTTAGTTTCTCTAAATTATTTAAAAATTGATTTTAGCTCCTCAAAAAATATTTGTATGTTTTTGGTCCTTCTAACTTTAGTTCTTAAAGTAGTTTAAATATAATGCTTAAAAGCGATTACAAGTGTTATCTAAATTACTTTGAGAATTATAAGTTGTGCATTTCTAAATTAAAGAAATTAAAATTGAAAAAAAATATTTCTTAAGGACTAAAATCAAATTTAAAAAAATTTAGAAGGATAAAAATATATTTTGCCTGACTAAAAAACCTTACACTACTTGGTCCAACGGGGAGATGCATAAAGAACATGCACAAGAAGCCTTTCGTAAAATACTCATTTATTCTATGACTTGGAGAATAAATGGAAAGCCATTGGTGGTGAACGTGGCCGCCACTGTTGTGGTTGTAGAAATAATAATTATGATGATTATAAACTATTGAAACAAACAGAAATTACAATCTGTATACAGCAAACTCACCTCATTATTTAAAGGTTTTAATTTATATAATATAAAACATTTTGAGAATTGACGACAATCATACAAATCAGACACCAGCAACAAACACCAAATCTAGCCTCTTATTTTTCAGCCTATTTAAGTTCTTGCATATAAAACTCTTGGTTTAATAGGCATCTTTTTAAAGAGGCTAGGAGTAAACAAGACCGTTGGTTTTCATGTGAGAACAAAGAAAAAGCAAGAATTTACCTAATTTGTTTGCATTGATTTTAGACAGATCCCACGGGAATCATCTTTAGAGCTGCTGCAATTGGCATGCCAAGAACTCCAAGGAGAATGCTACCAAACCATTGCTTCAAACTAAGTGGAGATGTGTTTGCATAGGTGCCCAAGAATTCAACAATTACAATTTGGAAGATGACAGTAGAGGTGAGGACAGCAACAAACACATAATTCTTCAGTATACCTTGAAAAACATTTATCCTCTCCATATCCCTGGAACTAATCTCATTGAAAACCTAACAAGACATTTGAATAACAGTGATCATAAAAAGAACAATCAGATAACATAATATAAGGAATTACAGTTAGAACAATATATTCAGGAAAATTCACTACTCAGATTACATTCAGGTTAGCCTTTAGAAAAATATTCGACCATAATATTTTAATTTTCTTAATTAAGAAGTTAGAACATCATTAGTGAAAATTTTATACTTGACAAGAGAGGCAAAACAAACTTGTCTATAGTCTGAACATGAAATCATGT